TGAAGGTGTGCCATAGCTTTACAAAAAAGAGTATAGATTTTTTCCAGTTCTTTTCTTGGTATTGACACATTGGGAAGCTGTTGGGCTTGCAGTAGTAGATAATCTGTGTTCTTCATACCAAGTACACACTGCTGGGTCCACTTTTTAAACTATGCTGGCAGCCAACATTCCATATGTGTGGTTTTGCTATTTTACTCCAAAAGGCTTTGCTATAAACATACTCAGTTTGGAACAATGTACTGTTTTCCTGTTCATTTGCATAAGACTCTTGAGACCTTCCTGTTATCCATCCTCATCAACTTGTCTTTCCACTTCCTAAGCACTTAAGAGATTTCATTGACTGCACATAAATCAGACCGGTCCTGACTAACACCAGTTTCAGAAGGACAGAGCTCTTACATTTCTTCTTCTTCTTCTTCTTTTTATTGTGCTTTACGTGCAAGTTTACAGAGCAGAGTTTGTTTTGCATTCAGCATCACATGTACATTTAGTTTCACTCCCCATTTACCATCCCCAACCCTAACCCAGTCTCCTCCCCTCCCTGCCCAGTAACAACCCTTCCACCCCCTATGACCCCCATAGTTATGCACTCCTGTGTGTCCTGCATTTCCTCCGTGTGAATGTTGCCCTCTGGTGCCCCGTGGTCCATTGCTCCAAGGGATGCATCTCCGTAGAGTATGTGGGTGCGTCACCCTGGGTTGAGTGGTCTGCGTGCACATCTTGTTTACTATTGGGCTGAGAACTAGCCCTGGAAGTGAGTTTTATTCCAGGCCCAGAATGTATCCCAGGGCCATAGTATTGGGGGTCTCACCAGACTCCATCCAACCAGTAATTCTGGTCATTATTGCATTTTTGGATTTTGTTCCACGTTTTTCCTCCCACTCCATCCAGGATCTCCAGATATGATCCTTTCCTGAGTGGTTGGCATTGGTAGCCGGGCACCATCTAGTTCTTCTGGTTCTTACATTTCTTCTTGTGGGGTATACTAACTGACTTCTCCCTACTCCTTGCTCTCTGTGTCTATCCCAGTTCTTTTTTCACAATAAAGTAGGGACCTTGATCCCAAGGTGACTTTGTTTCAGTAATGGCCTTATGTACAGAATCTTGTCAAAGACCTTTAGAAAATTTTTCACTTCCTCCCTCTTTTTCTCCTTCCTCTTCTCTCTACTGAAATATCCTGGGGAGGGGGGAATCATTTGGATTTGGATTTAAGTGTTTGGTACCCCCATCTTACAGTGTAGAGTCAGTCATTTCTTTTTACCCCTTAAACATTGATGCAATGCCTGAGATGAACAAGGTCTGAACTACCCAGTATTAGTGAGCTTAAAAAAAAAAAAAAAACTTACCATGGAGTTGACTCCAACTCATGGTGACCTCATGTGTATCAGAGTAAAATTGTGCTCCATTGGTGAGTTTATCACAATCTAAGTCCCTGCATACCCCTTGAATCCTTCTTTGGGACAGAGGTCACATTTGCAATCTGGCAGAGTAGTTTGCATAACAATAGATTCCAGTGGTCTAATTTCACCCTTGAGTTCCTATAAAACTCACATTCACCTGCCCTCCACTGTGGTAATTTATCTAGATTTATTGTGTTAATTTGGCAGAATAGCTCTGATACAACCACTGCTTGATTTAAGATCATCAATCTTCCATTTCCAGGAACAATACAGGAACTGGAGATCCTACTGTCTTCTTCATTATGAGCTGAAGTTTAGAATCCACTTGTGTGCTATCACCATTTCATTTTTTGAAGTACTTTCTATTACAAAGTCATCTGTAGTTAACCCACTCCCTTGAATTAAATTGTTCTCTATGATTCATTGGAAGAAACTTATGCTACTCTTGAAGTTTTATATATAATACTCTTCAATTTCTTTACCTTTTGAAGACCAATTTAACTCTATATGATTCCTAATCTTCCAGACTTTTTGGACTTTCTTTTTCTCATTTTTGAATCATGTTTCAGATTAAGAAAAGAAGACGATTATTTTCTGAAATAAAATATTTGACATTTCCATATCAATGCAATTGGGAATGCAGAGACCATAGCTTATATAAAGTCATTACATGCTTATTATCATCTACCTAAGAACTCAGATGCTAACCAAAGATTAGAGGTTCAAGTCCACGTAAACCTACCTCAGAAGAAAGGCCTGGTGATATACTTCCAAAACATAAGCCATTGAAAACCCTGTGGACTGCAGTTCTCTGATACACACGGGGTTACCATGAGTTAGAGTTGGCTGACGGCAACTTGTTCATCTAAAATTAGTAAACAACTTAATGAGTAGAAATTCAAATCTTATCCATTCTAATTATCAATAATTATTTATTAATATTAGAAATATATTGATCACTAACTCTGTGTGAGACAAAGTGCTAGGCACTAGGGAGTCAAATAATTCAGAAGACTTAGTCTCTGCTCCCAAGATTCTCACAGTGTGAAGTAGAGTCACATTGCAGACATATAAACAAACACACCAAGGTCATTCACTGTTCTAGGTGCCACTTAATGAGTAGAAGGGAAGGGGATAGTGATTCCTGTGACAAGTAGGAGAAAAGTTGTTGTCAGAGCAAGGTGAATAACGATATTGAATTGAGTCTTGAAGTGGTGGGAGGGTGGGATCTGGGCATACCATGATGGGAAGAGCATATGCAGGAAGCATTAAACTGTATGACTATAGTGTAGGCTATAAAAACAGAAATGGTAGCAGAGGAGACTGGGGAAGAAAGCTATATATGATATGAGAAAGAGTTGAACTTTACTTGTGAGCAAAAGGAAGCAAAAGGGTTTTAAACAATGAAATAATGTAGTCACATTTTCTATATGAGTGTGCAAGCAGAGAGATCATTTAAGAGACTATAATAGTGTTAAAGTAAGACCTGACAGAAGCAATGGCAGTGGGAATGGAAAGAAGGGAATGGATTCCATATACAGTTAAGTATATTTCAGTCTCTCAAATATTTGTGCATGTTATTGTTAGTGGTGGTGGTGGTGTTAGGTGTTAGTATAAGTCAACTCTGACTCATACTGACCCTATGTGCAACAGAACAAAGCAGTACCCAGTCCTGCGCCTACCTCACAACTCATTGCAATGTTCAAGTCTATTATTGCAGCCACTATGTCAATCCATCTTATTGAGGGTCTTCTTCTATTTTTGCTGACCCTTTATTTTACCAAACATGATCTCCTTCTCCAGGGACTGGTCTCTCCTGACATGTCCAAAGTAAGGAGCATTCTGGCTGTACTTCTTCCAAGATGAGTTTGTTTTTTCTTCTGACAGTCCATGGAATATTTAATATTCTTTACCAACACCACAATTTAAGAACATCAATTCTTCTTCAGTTTTCCTTATTCATTGTACAGCTTTCACATACATATGAGGTCATAGAACATACCATGGCTTGGGTCGAGTACACCTTAGTCTTCAAAGTGACTTGAAAGAGATCTTGGGCAGCAGATAGTAGTAAATTGAGGGAGAGCAAGGAGTCAAGAGTGATCCACCAGTATACATTTTTGGGTAACTATGTACCTAGTAAGAAGCTCTGGTGGTGTAGTGGTTAAGGCATTTGGCTGTTAACCAGAAGGTCAGTGGTTCAAATCCACCAGCTGCCCCATGGAAGAAAGATAAGGCAGGCTGCTTCCATAAAGACTTGCAGCCTTGGAAACTCAATGAGGGTCTCTATGAGTCAGAAGTGACTTGATGACAGTGAGTTTTGAGTTTAAGGAACATATCATTTCTAACAACCAGCAAAGTGAACTGTCAGGGGAAGAACAGGTTAGTAGTAAGCCTGGTCTGAGTATTATCAAAGGGCTTTGAAAAGATGAGTTCCAGTTTGAGTAAACATGGCTTGATGTGGAGTATCTGAGTGGAGAGTTTGAATAATAATTACACTGGTCTGGAGCTTAGCCTAGAAACCTTAGTAGGAGAATACCTACCATAGAGTTCAAGCAATTTTGCATTCTGTCCAGCTGTGTTTCTGATCCTATGCTAAGAATGACAACAACAAGGATGAATAACAAATGACTCCCTCTCTGAAGTCTAGAATGGAACAAAGACAATTATATTATTCATTATATTTTTTTCTTCTCATATGACATCAAGTATATATGAATCCTATTCATATAAATGATGTACTTTATATAGTAAAGCTTTGTCAATACAGACTTGAAATACCCTTCAGCCACATCATTATTTAAAATAACTTCTATATAACAGCTATCAAAGAAATGAACTACTAGTATGACAGGCTTTTTGATTCCAAAGATACAAGAATAAACAATTTATTCCAGCTGGAGAGTCATTTAGCTGAAAGATACTTCTTATAGTATGCCTTTAAGTCACATTTTGTGAAGAACATGTTAGTTATACTTCCTAAATAAGTGATTTGGCAGCACTTGTGTAATTTAGGTAGAAGGATGACCATTCAAACAGAGTTTTTAGTGTTAAACCTTAAAAATACGAACTCTCTTTGAAACGTAACTATATTATGTAAGCACAGTTGGCTTTAGGGTAGGAAAAAATGTGTAATCACAATTCCCCACTGTTACCCTAACCTCAAATTCAGGAATTCTCTGACCAACATAATAGTAATATTTCTGAAGGCTTGCTTAAATAAATTATAGAGACTATGAAGTCACCCTGCACAAAACATATTTTATTTCCCAAACCAAAAATCATGTTGCTATCATTTTAATCCATAGTTCGCTATTGCACATTCCTCTGGCTATCAGTTTATGCTTTGAACAAGTGACACACATAAAGAATATCCCGAAGATTCTGTTGTCTCTTGAGAAAGGAAACACTGTACAGCTTCTTTTCCCCCAGAAATGTGTGTTGAATTGCATTCACAACATTTTTTTAAATGAATGTGTTTACATAATGCATGTAGCTACAGTGTCTTGTGGTTTCTACAGAATGGAAAAATGTCAAAATTTGTTATTGGAAGTATTCCAAATGCCTTTTTTTTTTTTTTTTTCTATTTTCATTAAACAGGGAAGGCCATGGTAAAATTTCAGTATTTGCTGTCAAAATGGCTTTAGCCACATTGTGTGGAGGGAAGATCATGGACAAATTGCGATGTAAGTTACTTGTACTTCTCTTTGCTTATCCCTCCCATGTACCACCTTGTCCTCTCCCCATTCCTACCATGTCCCCTTGCCCATCTGTATCTTTCCTCATTGTTTAAAAACAGTCTTCATCAATCTTTAGATTTTGTCACAGTAAATATTCATGAAATGTCTGTGTTCCTTCTAATTACAAGTTATAACCTATTGAGACCACCAACTAGACTGCTTCTGATACCAAAGTGAGACATTCATTCTTTCAAATTCATTGACTTTTCAGGCATAAGGCTATGTCATAAGACATCATCATATTGCACTAATAGATAAGTGGAAGGGACAGCAAAGCCCCACATAACCACACATCTTCACTTAGTTACAGAGACTCACTTTCACAGAATGGCCAGAGGAAATACAATCAGGATTCAGAGAAGGCTAAATGGAATATGTGATGGTTGATTTCTTTTCTTTTTAGTTAGCCTACAAGATATAGAGAATTGAAGATGTCAGAACCAATATCTTTAAATGGGGGGGAAAAAAAAAAAAGCTTCAGAGTAATCCAGGATCCGGGAGGTATTTCCTTCAGGATCAGGCTGGGAAGAGAAAGTTTTGCAAAGTTGTGTTAGACTGGGTTCTCTAGAGAAACAGAAACCA